CCTAAGCGGGCAGCCAGCCTAGTAGACTGGAAATAAGCCATTATTTGTGGATACCATGAAGGAGAATTATCCTGACCCTCCTTTAAATGCCCCAGATGAAGTGACTGATACGCTGCATAAGCAAGGCATTCTGGATTGGCTTTATTACAACTGGCAGGTTCATCCACTGGATGTGCCTCTCTTATTAACATCGTGAAAAATGTTGCGATCTACATAAGCCCCATGTAACCTCACTGCTGCAAAACCAAGGAAGTCTGAGACGTCATATCAGATTTGCTGTCTCAGCTTCTCCTTAAGGGTTCTCCAACACTGAAGGGACCTAAACAAATCTGTTCTGTGTGTTATAGTTTGGAGGAATTTTAAAAGCCAGAAGGCCAAGATGGCAATGAGAAGTCTGACCCTCAATCACCGGGGGTGATATTATGACTGATTAATCAGGATAAGAATTGATAAAGGAGCCAGAGTCTCTTGGCCTAACCCCTAAGGACCCCAAGGCCATATGCACATGTGTGGGAAAAAATGGCCAGAGAGTTTTTCCAGGGCTCCTTGGCATGGGAGCCCAATGCTCTGTGATTCCAAAACCTGATGGTGAGGTCCTGAAAAGGGTGACAATTAGACTGGGAGGATGTAAGAATGTGATGGTTGATGAGATGAAGATAAAAGTTTGGCTGAGAACTGGAATGTTTAGACAGACTTTATGTGAACTGGCTGTGTCCCCCTTACCTAAATGTATTATTGAGATGGTTATTATGTCTGACTGGGAAACATATTCCCTACCTAGTATTGTTAATTTAAAACAACATAGAATACTTGGTAGACAAAAAGAAATTACCACCTTAATTAATGACAGGTTAGAAGTACTAACAAATGTTCTATAAAACAGCCCTGAGTGGCCTGTGAAAAAGATGGATAGCTCATGGAGACTAACAGTAAATTATCAAGGTTTGAATAAAATAGTAGCACCCACAATATCACCAATCCCTGAGATGGTTTTGATAGTGCAAAAAAATACAAACCACAGGAGACTGGTATTCAGTCATCGATCTCGCTTTTTCCTCAATACCTACCTCAAAAGAATCAAGTGTGGTTTGCTTTCACATGGAAAGGATCCCAATTTACATCTACTGTGTTGCCACAGAGTTATTTGTATTCACCAGCATACTGTTATAATCTGGTTAGGAAGGATTTGTACTTAATGCTGGTCCTGAGTATACTCTACATTGATATCATAATAGAAACTGAGGAGAAAACTAGAGCTGAATTAAATGCAGTGGTGACATGCATGGCTAACAGAGGCTGGCAGATAAACCCAGCAAATATTCAAGAGCCCAACCAAACAGTAAAATTCTTAGGACTAACTTGGGCAGAAGCCATCTGTGGTATTCCACAGGTAAAGTAAACTACTGTCCTTGCGTATCCCTGGAACAAAGCAAACAGTTCAGAACCTGGTCTGATTGCTCAGATTTGGAGAATACATATCCCACATCTGGAAATATCGCTAGCTCCTAACCATAAAAGTACCCAAAATAGGACCATATTTGAATGGGAGCCTGAAAACATCATACGATGTCTGAACTGCAAAAAAATAGTGGCTCAGTCAATGGTCTGGGGCCCTAGGATCCACATTCAGATATGATTTTACACTTATACAGCCTGGAGCTTATGGCAAAAGCCCGTGAGTACCACCAAGTAGCAATTGCTGGAATTTTGAAGCAGAAAATTTTTAGACATGGTGATATGGTATGTTCCATCTGAGAGATAATTATAGGATTGCCATTGGGTATTAATGAAAACTGCCCCCCCAAATCCTCAAAAATATATTTGCAAATCGAATTCAGCAATACATTAAAAAGATCACACATCATGATCAAGTGGAATTTATTACAGGGATGCAAGATTGGTTCAATATCTGCAAATCAATTAATGTGATAAATCACATAAACAAAATGAAGTACAAAAATCTTATGATCATATCAACAGATGTAGAAAAAATATCATTGACAAAATCCAGCATCCATTTATAATAAAAACTCAAAGCAAAATGGGAAAAGAGGGAACATATCTCAACATAATAAAAGCTATATATGACAAACCCACAGCTAACATCATACTCAATGGAGAAAAGTTAAAAGCATTTTCCTTAAGATCAGGAAAAAGATAAGGATGTCTATTTTCACCACTTTTATTCAACATAGTATTGGAAGTCTCAGTCACAGCAATCAGACAAGAAAAAGAAATAAAAGGCATCCAAACTGGAAAAGAAGAAGTAAAACTGTCATTATTTGCGCTAACATAATACTATATACAGAGAACCTCAAAGACTCCACCAAAAAACTACCAGAACCGATAAATGAATTCAGTAAAATAGCTGGATATTAAATTAATATTCAGAAATCGATTGCATTTTATACACCAATAACAAACTATTGGAAAAGGAAATTAAGAAAACAATACCATTTACAAGTACATCAAAGAAAAATAAAATACCCAGGAATAAATTTAACCAAGGAGTTAAAAGACCTGTACTTGGAAAATTTTAAGATATTGAAGAAAGAAACTGAAGAAAATACAAATAAATGGAAGTATGTACCGTGCTCATGGATAGGAAGAATTAACATAGCTAAAATGGCCATACTACCCAAACCAATCTATAGATTCAATGCAATCCCTATTGAAATACTAATGACATTTTTCAGATAACTACAACAAATAATTCTAAAATATTTATGGAATCATAAAAGATCCCAAATTGTCATGGCAATAGGGAGAAAGAACAAAGTTGGAGGTATCACGCTACCTAATATCAAACTATAATATAAGGCCAGAGTAATCAAAACAGCATGGTACTGGCATAAAAACAGACACATAGATCAATGGAACAGAATAGAGAGCCCAGAAATAAATCCATACTATACGGTAATTTAATCTATGACAAAGGAGGCAAGAATATACAATGAAGTATTCACTGGAATGGTGTTGGGAAAACTGCACAGATACATGCAAAACAATGAAACTGGACCACCTTCTTACACCATATATAAGAATAAACTCAAAATGGAATAGACTTAAACATAAGTCCCAAAACTATAAAACAGAAGAAAACACAGGCAGTAAACCCTTAAGAAAATATTAAGAACTGTTCTTCTTAATATTTTTTCTGACACATCTCCTCAGGCAAAGGAAACAAAAAAAATAAATAAACAAATGTAACTACATCAAACTAAAAAGGTTTTGTGCAGAAAACCATGAACAAAATGAAAAGACAACCTACCGAATAGGAGAAGATATTTGCCAATGATACATCTGATGAGGGGTTAATATCCAAAATTTATAAAGAACTCATACACCTCAAAAAACAAACACTCCAATTGAAGAATGGACAGAGGATCTGAACAGACATTTCTCCAAAAAGTACACACAGATGTCCAGTAGACCTATGGAAAGATGCTCAACATCACTAATCATTAGGGAAATGCAAATTAAAACCACAATGAGATATTACCTCATACCTGTCAGAATGGCTATCATAAATAAACCAAAAAACAACAAGTGTTAGGGAGGACGCGGAGAAAAGGGAATCCTCATATACTGTTGGTGGGATTGCAAATTGGTACACCCACTCTGGAAAAGTTTGGAGGGGACTCAAAAAGTTAAAAATAGAACTACCTTATGACCCAGCAATATATTTCTGGGTATTTATCCAAAGAAATCCAAAACATTAATTCTAAAAGATAAATGTACCCCTATGTTCACTGCAGCGCTATTTGCAATAGCCAGGATATGAAAGCAACCTAAGTGCCCATCGATAGACAACAGGATAAAGAAGTTGTGGTTCCTATATACAATGGAATATTACTCAGCCATTGGGGGTGGGAAAAAAAAATCTTGCCATTTGCGACAACACTGATAGACTTAAATGGTATTATGCTAAGTGAAATAAATCAGAGAGAGACAAATACTTATACAGGAATCTTACTTATACAGGAATCTAAAGAACAAAATAAATAAAAAAATAAAACAGAATCAGACTCACAGATACAGAAAACAAACTGATGATTACCAGATGAGAGGGAGGTCAGGGGTCAGGATGAAAAAGGTAATGGGATTAATAAGTACAAATTGATAGTTACAAAGTAGTCATGGGGATGTAGAGTGCAGTATAGGGAATACAGTCAATAATATTGTAATAACTATGCGTAGTGCCAGGTGGGTACTAGACTTATGGGGGGAGCACTTCATAAATTATAAAAGTCTAACCACTATGCTGTATACCTGAAACTAATATAAAATAATACTGAATGTCAACTATAATAGAAAAAGGAAAGAAAAGAAAATTGCCCCTATGGCTAAAGGGAAAAAATAATTTTGAAATCTAAAATACCCATACTATCTTGGGTCATGATGGAGAAAAACACTCCAATGGGAAGGCAGAGGCATGCCACACTAAAATAGAAATGGTATTTACAGAAATATGCTACCAGAGACATGCAAGGACTTACTCATTATATTCATGAATGGGTAGCCTGTTTTCTCCTGGGGCCAATTTTAAAACCACCTAAAGAGCTGCCAGGTCCTATTCATACATGGGCAATACTCTATGAAGACTCCCAATCGAGCTGCTTGGTTTACAGATGGTGTTTCAAGATAAATGGACAGCATTCGGTTTAGAAGGCTACCACACCACAACCAATTGATGGAAAAACTCTGATTAAAGAAGGTTAAGAATAAATCGGCTCAGTGGCCTAAACTGCATACTGTTTTCATTACAATGATGGAAGAATTAGACAACAACAAGAGTGCTGAAGTTTGGGCGTATACAGACTCAAGGGCAGTAGTCAATGACTGTCATGTATTCAGGCCGATGGGCAATGGAAGACCGGCACAGACCTATGGAAGCCACAATAGAAATTTAATTCCCATAAAAAGAACCCTCTTCTGGGATCAGAAGGTGACTGAAACCAACAGATGGATACCCTGGTGTACTCACGTGGGATAGCTACCTGGCTCCATGATACCAATGGACACAGGGGAGGTACAGCCATACAGAAATGGGCTGATTGTCAATATATTCTTCTTGCATCCTCTGAAACACAAAATGTGAACAAAGACTATCCTGTCTATCAACAAGAAAGAGACTGCAGACAGCTATGGGGCAGATTCCCCAGGTGAAGGTCCTGCATGCAGCTGGCAAAAAGAAATGACTGCTGTCTGTAGATCCAGGAGGCTATTAAACAAATATTTGCTCCGGACTGGGCTTTGCATTCTGGGTAGTAGATGTTAATACTCAAAACACTATTGAAGGACTGAAACAAAAGATATTGTACCCATTTGGACCACCAGGTTACATTTCTTCAAACCAAAGTACATACTTTACAGTACAGTGTCCAATAATCAGCAAAGAAATAACACATAAATGGACACATATCATATCACATATCACTCTCAAAGTAGTAATCTGATGAAGAATTGAAATATGCAATGGAAACAACTGTTATCTAAAACAGGAGCAGATAAACACGTCTTCAGGAATGTGTGCTCACTCTCTAAGTAGATTGATTATACTTCTTTATAAAACTTTCCATGATTGCCCGAGAGCTTCCAATATGCATTTTAAACTAAGTCCACCTTCAAATAGCACTATAGTATTAACACCTACAGTGCATGTCTCATTTAACAGTGTTCCCAATTCCTCCCTCCCATCCCTGTGACATTGCTGTCATTTACTTTACTTCTCCATATGCTATCATCACTTAGCATAGCATTACTATTATTGGTTTAAACAGTTAACTTTTGGATCAATTAAAAAGAAAAATTTTTTAATATATTTCACCTTAATTTATTCCTTCTCTTATACGCTTCCTTTCTTTATGGAGATGTAAGGCTCTGACTTATATCATTTTCCTCTGCCTAAAGAGTTTCTTTTAACTTTTCTTGCAAGACAGATCTGCTGGCAATAAATTCTGTTTTTGTTTGTCTGAGAAAGTCTTTATTTCTCTTTTACTTTTGAAGGGTAACTTCAGTGACTAGAATTCTAAATTGGTGGGTTTTTCTATCAACACCTGAAACATTTTCTACTCTCTCCTTGCTTGCATGGTTTCTGACAAGAAACCTGCTCTAATTCCTATCCTGTTCCTCTCAAACAATGTTTCATTGCCATATTGAAAACCTTCTAGTAAAACACTTTCCTCCAAAAACAGACACCCTTTATGGATTCCATAAAATTTCCGAAGAGGTAAACCTGAACGATATATGCAATCTAAGGAAATTAGCATGGCTCAAATAGATGACATCTTATCATTGAAATACCTGTGAAGGGCTTCTTGATATTTATTTGTAATGTTTAAAATAATTCCATACTTTACAAGCAAACCAGACTGTAAATAAATCCGACTTCTAATAAGGTGTCCCAAATTGACAGGCAGCTCAGCATGCCCAGCTGGTGTCTGACCTAAAGATAATAAACTCCCATCCTTCCATGCAGGAGGCTCCTGCATGAGGGAACATCCACTTCTGACATTCATTGTGTTATAACATGGCTTGATGCCAAGGTGTGGATAACGAAGCCCCTGGCATCACTGCCTCTGGAGTATGGGTCCAGATTAGAATACAGGCTGCCCATTCCTGACATGTCAGTTCCTGCCAGGCCATGTGGCCAAGGTCTCAGTGTCTCTGCCAAAAGGGAGATAGCAAAGCAACCACTCAGCTCTCTTTCACAAGGTGACCTTGAGCAAGTGGAGAGCCCATATTTTAGGTGGTCAAAGTACAAAGTAAATCCAGTTCAGAATGGATGATGGATTAAACTTTGGCAATCTCAACATTTTACATGGTTCCCTGAATTATTGAGGTTATATATATCATAAGGACCATTTTCTAAACTATAAAAGTCTCTCAGTTGGTTCCTTATTCCTAAAGCCACCAGGCTTCTGTTTTGAATGTATATCAATAGTTTATTGGGCTCATAAAAGTTTTTAACCAGTCCTTCCATAAAATTGACAAATAACCAGCTGTAAGAAGTAGCATTCTCTACTCTTTATCCTAGTGTTTTTTTTTTTAAGGCCTGGGGAGTGATTAGTAGTTAAGTGTCCTGAGTACTGAGCCATACACCCTATAAGTCTAAAAGATACAGCATCTGCTTGAGCACTGGGGTTTTAGCAAGTTAACGGAACAAGTTGTAGGAATGTTTTGTGCCTGCTTGTTAATGCATGTCCCTTTAATAAATCCTGTACAGCAGAGCAAGGTCTGACACCTGTTCCAGCACATCTGGCAGGGAGCTAATGGGGGTAATAACTAACCCTCACCCACCTCAAACATTCCGGTGGTGATTATTACCTACCAAAAAGAATCTAAGAGTGGTCATAGCCAGGTTGATTAGGTCACTTCTCAACAGTGGTTTATCCATTTTTCTTCCTGTCAATCAGACAGGTCAGCATTATATATAAATCAGACCAGAGGGCAATTGTTTAAAATGTCATTTTTAATATCTGTTCTTCAAAAAAGTACCTCAAGTTCCAGATCCTTAGAAAATTAAAGACAGCAGTGGCAAATTATAATGACTACACAGTTGGGATGTGTTTATATAGATCATCAGACTATAATCAGGAGAGAACAAGGTTAGAGTGATTCACTTTTCATGTGCTTTATAACAGAATCTGCTCTACCCTGTGAATATAGAAACACCTGATGCTTTCTGGTGACTGCCCAACAGCACTAACCACAAGTATCATCTCCATAGAAACTGTTGTCAGGCCAACAGGCCTTTTCAGATGCAATCAAAGAAATATAAATCAAGAAATGCTTTCACAACTCAAAGTATGGTCTCAGGAAAACCAGAGATAAGGCCCTGGCTCACTCGGGAACTTGGAGAAGGATGTGGCTCATTATAGGTGTAGTTCTGATAGTAAATTCAAAGAGTACCCATGATACAAAGGCTGGGGTCTCGTCAGCTTTTCCTCCCTCTCCTCATAAGCCATCCTATCGAAGCTAAGTCCAAACTTGGAGAAAAGAGCTGTCCTAGAAAGCCAAGGGAAAAGACAACGAGGAGAAGCCTGTGCCTGGGAGAGTCTACTAATTCTAACTCCAAAATATACTGAAAAGAAATGAAATCAATTCTCTCTGGGAACGTAGGTTGAGCAGAGGAGAAATGGGGTGATGCGGGTCGGGGGGCTGGGGTGATGCAAGCGGCAGGACAGGGACAGGCTCATGTGGAGGTAGAGACAGAAAATGAATGAGACTAAAAAGGTAAAATATTATCTTCCTGGAGGGTATACAGTTCATCTAGACAACTTCAACAACAACTTAACATCAATCATTTAGATAATATGAATTTTAAATTCTAAAAGTTTATTTCTGACATACTCTCAGGCTCTTCTTTAAGAACAGAGTATAGTTACAATATGGTCTGACCTATAATCAAGTTTTAAAATATAACTTCTTTGAAGTGTATTATAATGAGTTTGCAGAAAATGGCAAGTGTCAGAACTCAAGAGATACACCTCCAGTGAGGTGTGGGGGAAAGTAAGCAATGGGTTAACCTAGAAAGACACAAGTTCCAAAAAAGAACAAGTTCCAGCTAGTAAAGCTGAATTACCAGTGGAGGTATTAACAGCCCATCCCTCACCTAGAAACCTCTTAGAGTCAGCTCTATTTCCTACCATCAAGTGACCCAGCTCGCACCCACTGAGAGGTGGCTCCATGTCTTCTCAAGATCCCTGTCAGCTTCCTTCTCTCATTTGTCCCATCGGGCTCTCCTGGAATTTAGAGTGCCTTTTGGTTTCAAATTCTTTCCTGATGTTCTTTTATATTTCAAGCCATAAGGCTCTCATATCATCCCAAAAATCTCAGGAAAGCCAGCATTTATCATTTATTCCACAAGAGACCAGAGCATCAAGAAATGCAGTGTTATAGCAGCAAGCCCTTCTCTTTCCTCTCACGAAGCACATTCTATGATCACACTCGTGTGTCTAATAAGGAGAATGGAGGTTTAATTTTTTAAAAGGAGCAACTCCATTTCTCAAATTACTGCTTAAGACTTTGCAGGAGAAAGATGCTCCTGAATTTTGCCTTTGTTTATAGATGTATTTGGATGAGTTTGGTAAAGTCAAGGAAATAGAGGAAAAAAAGGAGGAGTTTGGGGGCTAGATCTCATGTGACTCAGCTTCCTGCATCCCATCAATAAAATCAATGCAGGTCTCCTTTGAGACATAGGGAGAATTTAACGAAACTGCATATGTGGACTGGGAAAAACAGATTCAAGCCCAAAAGAATTATGTGTAAAGTAAATAGACTAAGAATCTAAAGTTACCAAATAGGCCTAGATGATTAAAGATAATGGCGCCATTTTCACTATTCAAAGGCCTTTTAAATTTACTTTCAAGTTTTTAATTTTATTAATTTTATTGGTGTGACATTGGTTCATAAAATTATATAGGTTTCAAGACATTGTATTTTCTCTCCTTGGATTTCTCTGGTAATTATTAATAAAGATATTTTTGGTAAAACAAACAAACAAAAAACAGTATTTGTGGAAGGTTCTGAACACTTTGAAAAGTAAAATGTGTTCACTAAGCAGTATTTGCTAACCACCTAAGGCACCAGGCAGGGCAAAACTCTGGCCACAGGTGACATCAGAGCACTGAGTGGACATCTGAAGCATTTAAGCCAGTTTCAACCACCTTCTCCCATGCCCTGTGTCCAGCATTTTTAAAAGACAGAAAACAGCTCCAAGGAGAAAAATTTTTTAAAATAGTAAAATAAACTAGGAACAACTCTTCATTGAAATAATCAGAGCTGCACATGGATTCTTCAGGAACTGGTCAAAAGTCAGGCTCCAGTTCATACACACAAAAAATGCAACATGTTATCATCCCCGCAATGGAAAAAGTTGCATGTGTTTTCTTTAGGTTTATAGAAACAGCATACTGAAACCTCAAACACTTTAAATGCACATGGATTGTTAAAGATTATAAAGCTCTTGAATCCAGGCAGAGAAAACGAAAACCCCAAATGAGAAAATATTTACTTGCTCATAAAGTTCACATGTAAGAGAAATTTTTAAACTGTACATTATTTATGATGGTGATTAAT